CGCTTTAAAAATCGCGTTTCAAGGGGGTAAAATACACGTTTTTTGGAGAGGTTCCCCAAACCGCGGACTTGGCAATACTGTAGCGTGCCAACTTGATGCTTCCTCTGAAGACTGCTTAGATGTGCTCAACTTGAAGCAGCGCTGCTTAGACCGATCGGTGTGTCATCAAAGTACTGCGAGAGCTATAAGAGAGCGGACGTCTCCTTATGCTTTCTCTTGCTGTACTTTGATGCCATACACTGATCGATCTTCAAGTCGAACAGACCTCTTTACTCTCGCGTGTCACATGACCGAGTGTAATCGCAGCCTCTGCGGTTGAAAAATCATGTTTTTTCATATCGCGATATTATCGCAAATGCAATTAATCATTCATCCCTAATTTGGAACGACATGAGGGTAATTAATGACATCAAATGTCAAATTAATAAAATTTTTGGGTGAACTATCCCTTTAACACACAGATTATATGTGAAAAAAGAAAGGGTAAAAAATTAGGGGGAAAATGGTGTATCAGATCTGCTTCTATTCTGAAGATCCTGTTTAAGCAAGCTCCAGAGACTTCAAAATGTTGAAGCAGGTCTCACACTGTCTGCTGCACAGATTCCCCTTAGGCAACTTCCCCTAAAACAAATTACTGTAAAACATTTTCATTAGGTAGCTTGTTCTACCTTTGAGAGAAGACATCAGGATGATCACACTGAAAAACATGGAAGTTAATTTCAATCACACACACATTTGGGCATTTTCAAGTGTGAATGATCAAAACAATATTCAGCCTTGGAGAACTGGTCTAAAGGAGCACTTACAGAAGACAAGAGCTCACTGTGTCCTGCAAGGCACTTTCTATCTGCAAACTCAAGTGGCAGTGAAAATTATAATTTTAAAGTAATTATAAAGTAATGCGAGTCAAACCATTCCACACAGCAACGCTTTCCTATTAAACTCACCAAAGATGAAATGTTTTTTAACACAAGAGGCTGCTGGCCCTGAAATCAACAGCACAGACCATATGCTTCTGCAACTCTTCCATCCTGAAGAGAGATTTTAGAGAAATGAAATGATGGTCTACTGGAGGACTGGTGCATCACAATTAGACGAAGCATTCACTTTTGCTTTCACGTGGTATTCAATCAATCTGTGGGTTCACCACATACAGACTAAGAGATCGCATATATAAATATACAGTATATGCGCATATATAAATATGATTTGATTATTTATGTCCTTTATGCACACAAAGTGTTTTTTTTATCATACAATTACAAAAAAATAAGGGTTATAGTAAATCATTTTCATATGCTTACACAAAGCTATTGTATGACCACTTTGCTATGCTTTTGGCCATTTCTATTGGTGATTTTGGTCTATGGAATAGACCTAAACATCACTGCAAAGATCATTTACAATTCTACTTTTGTTTTCAATGAATTTCAGCATAAAGGTTTGTGACGACCTGAGACTAGTTAATAATGACTGAATGTAAATGTAAAACTGTCAACTACTAAATGCTTTGCACACAGTCCTTGGTTTCAAGCAGGGGCAAGTCATGCAGGAATGCTTAGTCACTGGGAGGATGAACAAATTGCCAACTGACAGGAAAATGCTGATAGAAATGCACTCAGTGAATCATAAAGCAGAGAGCTCTCCACTGTTTGCTTAGTCACTGACACAAGAAGATTCTGGTCTACCACAAGTTTATTTTAACAGATGTATAAAAACAAATCTATGAGGTTTGTCTAATAGAGCACTCAATAATTAAATCAAAAAATTTTCTGCACCACTATGCATCTACAGTACAATAGCAAAGAAAATGATATTTGATCAGAGGTTTGAATCTGAAGTCTGAATTGAATTTGATAGAAGAAACACACACACACACTTAGAACAATGGAATCATATAGATGGACAATAAATAGCAGGCCTCCAGACAGCAACCAAATGGATGAATAATGGTACAATTAATAAGAGTAGTATATATACATTTTCCATATAAAATTTTTATTTTACACATAATAAAAATAAATGTATGCTTCCCAACTCAAGCTCAGTGCTTTACTGTCAAATGTGTATTACCAAGAAATAAACATGTCTTATTATGTATAATATTATTTAGAGGTCGACCGATTGATCGGCCGGCTGATTAATCGGTCGATTTTTGGCATTTTTAAAATTAATCTGCACCGGCCGATTGTGCTGCAAATTAGGCCGATTTATAGGCAGGCGCATCTGTAGGCAGCTAAGCATTGTTGCGGAACACCGAAGAATCTCTCTCGGGATGCGTGAGAGATGGAGCAAATCACACTCTGCAGCCGCTTCTTGTTCACACACAGCTTCAGCTAATGATGGCAGGGCAAAACAGACCGTTTCGAAAGCGTAATTACGTTTTACCCTACTAGAATTGATGCCGGAAAGTTATCATATTCATAAGTGCAACAAGTCATTTGCATGTGAAAGTAGAAACACATGCAATTCAGACGAAACTTCTGGGCTGATTATAACGTGCATGTTAACTTTCCTCATGAAATGTGTGTGTAGGTCCGACAATAGCATCCACGATGTCATCGATCGTGGCCAGTGCACTCTAAAGCAGTTATGAGCAGCAGGCTGTGTAATATGTGTGAACTCTTTTTATTTTTGTTATCACTTGGCCATTTGACTTATAGCAGTGTCCAGTGTTTCCCATACATTGAGTTACTACTTCGTTGAATAAACTGATCACTGCACATTTCAAAATTAAAATGCAGCACTGGTGTTTTTATATGAAAGTATCTTTGAAAAAGAACCGACCGTCTTCAGAAAAGCCTCGGTGTCATTTTCTCTTTCCTGTAATGCCTGATAAAGTAGCGTTTGTGAGCGCAGTGCTTATTTGATTACAGCTGTTACCAAGGAAACCGCTATATCTCCCACTCCAACAGTGCCGCATTGCAAGTCTGTGGGAAACACTGGTGTCTGTCAGCAAACATAAACAAAAAGCATGCTTCAGAACTGTTTTGAGAAGGTGCTTAAGTTTTGAGCCATGTATTATTACTCTGAATTAGGCTACTACCACTATTACTATCTTGTACCCTGCAATAATCATTTGCTCAAACTCACTTTTATGGGATGAATGGGGAAAAAAAAGAAAATTGGCCAAACATATCGGCCAAAAAAATCGGCATCATATATCGGCCATCGGCTGCCCTGATTTCTAAATATCGGCATCGGTCAGTGAAAAACCCATATCGGTCAACCTCTAATATTATTAGTAACTGCACTTATTATTGCAAAACTCCGATTGCATTGATCATATAACTATTGGTCAGTAAGGTTGTAAATGTTCATTTAAATGTTAATGAGTATATTTTTCACATTCCGCACTAGGAAAATATATACAAAAGTCTCATTTAACCTGCAATAACTTCAGCAGTTGGGTGTTGAGCTGGGTGAAACTGAGCCTTACATGGAAACCTAATGGATGACCTAATGGTTAACGATCTAGACTGCTAACACAAAGGTAGTGGTTTAAAAATCCAAGTAACCTGACATCACAAACCCGTTTTATCACTTTATTGTCCTTGAGTGAGGCACTAAACCCCCAAGTTGCTTGGAGCAAACTGGCCCTGCAATCAGCACACAGTAAGCCGCTTTGGATAATAACCGTCTCTTAAATGTCAAGTAAATGGCCACGCGAACAACTGATCTACTTTAGAGGTCTCGCACTTAAACCTAGATGCCATCAATTAGAATGTTAACAAAGTTTAGTCTTCAAAATGAACTATTACATATTCTAAGCAGACTGTTCTCCACTTTAAAAAAGCAAACTTCATGCCTAGCTTGAGGCTATTCAATTTCAGAGTCCTACTCTAGAGGCCGCTTATTTAAGACACACATGCAGTGCAGTGGCAGGACAGAATATTGAAGGATTGCAGGGCTCCAGGTCATCACAGTATCAGAGACTGTGGAAGAAAAGCCTCAGCACAGCTTAAGCATTTCCCCTAGTGACTATGAATCATAAGCATGGGTGTGTATGAAAATGACGACCACATTTGGAAAGCTTTCCACAACAGCTGAGAGAACACCCTGCCTCCCCTTGTCCTTTTTCTTGCCTTCCTTCACTGATGTTGTGCTAATATCTAATATATGCTAAGCTGTGGCTGCCATGGCAACCCTCCGCATACCAGATTTGGATTGTGTTCAAGTGATGCTGAAGTGAGGGTGAGGGCTGAAGTGAGGGCTAAAATGGCTGGACAATAATCCTCAAAACTCAGGACAATCGCTGCAGAGCATGAAACCGTTGATGGGAAGGTGATCGGTGAGGGATTTAGGGTAGAATATCAGAGAGAATGCCAAAGCGTGCAGGCTCTCATGAGTGCTGCTGATCATGTGACTTGCGCTCAGAGCTCAGCCGTGAGAGTGGGTGGGTGTGGGAGTGTACTGGCACTGAAATGCTTTTTATTGGCTGCCATGGCTTTACTACTCAGCATCATGGATTTCCATACAGGTTGTGCACTCAGCACCATGTCATCTGACTGCAAAATTTGGGGTTTCATGACAGCAGGGATATATTTATGAGAAGAATGACGTTATTCCTAAGTGATTATTAATGATCTCAAGTTGGGTATTTATCAATGCTTGCAGCTTGGTGATGTAGCTCTATCCATTGAGTTGGATATATAAATGCATCTCTCTAAGAACCTTTAGCCTACATTGTTTCCGCTGCATCTGCCTGTACCTCATAGCGCTTGCACTTCTGACATTTCTCCTCAAGCCCTGGAGAGGAATAGGATGTACGTGCGCAAGACTTTGCTGCACACACAAGCTGCATGCAGAAATAACCTCTACAGTTATGAATGAAACCGCAAGGAAGCAGAGGGCATGCTGAAGCAGGGACACACACATTCACACAGGAGCAAGAACGTGACACACAAGTAGAAACAAACAGGAACCTTAAATGAGTAAAATAAGCTGGGTGAGTTAGAAGACCCTGACGGGGTCTGATGAGGAAGGACGGTGAGTCTTACCTGTCAGAGATGTCATGACTTCCTGTGGCTCCAAGCAGTCCGAGAGCTGCACTTCCCACCACTGCAGCAGCCCCACTGCCAGCCTCCATGATACTGAATCACTGCAGGAGCAGCCTGCCAGAGAGAGAGAGAGAGAGAGAGAGAGAGAGAGGGGCAGGGAGGGAGAGAATGAGAGCAAGGGAGAGAGAATGAAAAAAAAGATGTAGAGTCAGTACAGAGTTAGAAATGAGAGGTAAAACAAGATGGACAGGGTGAATGTGAGAGTAAAACAAGCAGAGGAGAGAAAATGACACAGAGACTGTCTTCTAAAGGATCGTGGAAACCTGGGTTTTTTACTTTCACATCCAACAGCCAATGATAATTTCATTGATCAATCATTTTCATTCACTAAAATAAAGCTGGTATTTCAAGCTATATAAAAATATATACATATGGACAAAATTCAAACATGATTCAATATTGTCAGTCAGTCAGTATTTGCCTTTCCTAGAAGCCTAGGAAGTGATAACTTATTAGAGCATTAATATAGATGCCAACTGAAAGAACAACTCTCTCTTTTAGAAAACATTATAATAATATTTATACAGTTAGAATTATTCCAAAGAAAGCATTTAAAAAGTGTTTTTTTTTTCTTTCTTTTTCCCAGCACAGAACTTGTCAGTTTGGATTTATTTCTTTTTTTTTTCTACAAATTTGCTTAGTACGCCACCCTTGTCTCTAAATATCAGCATTAGCTATTGAAGAACCTATCAATCATTCAATAAAATCCGTAAAAACATCCAGTTTAAAACTGTCTAATGTGCCTTCCCCTTAGCAGGTAAGCAGGTACTTAGCAGAAGTTATTAAATCTTGGTAACAGTACCATTAAAGCCGCCACCCAATCAGAAACAAAGCTAATGTTTGCCACGCAGGAAAACTCCCACCCCAAAGCTCTGTGTGGATTTAATTGCAGAGACAGGAGATAAATGACAAGCTGAACAAAAGAACATCCCTCATCCATTTAAATTTTAAAACAACAAACCCCTAAACCCACACAACCCCTCTCCTTTAGTAGCTATCAACTACCACCATGCGGCTTTCTTTGTGTCCTTTGAAGCAGACTGGGAGAACTTTATGAAAGTTTGTAGGAAGCGCCGTTTACCCACGCACGCTCAAAAAGCAGCTTCATGTCAATGAGAGGGAAGGGCTGTTGTAAGAGTTTGGAGCTGGCAGAGAGGAACTTGTGGAAAGTATCCTTTGTAAACGATTCTGTCAACGATATCCACGAGTTGAGCAACTGGATAATGCAACAGTTTAAACCAACTTATAATATAATAATGATTATATTGCATTCATGTTGTTAGTGTTAATAAAAAAGAACTTCAAATTTGTTTTCATTAAACTAATATCAAGCTGAAATCAAATAAAATGTAAATATTAAAATAAAAAAGTTAATTAAATTTAGAAATATTGCCTTAGCAACTAACAGACATAAGTTTAGTTGAAGTACTAAAATTAATAAAACTGAAATAAAAATCTACATAGATAATTAGGGCTGTAACAAAATTATTTTGATGATCGAGAAATGACAGTGCGGTAAATAAATTAGTCCAACCGAGGCGTTGTTTATCCATCACATATTTTAAAGAACCAACAACGACTTTATAGACAGTTTGTTTGAGGCTCGTATCCTTGGCAGCTCCGGGGATCTTCAGATGAACACAAATCATTTCTCGGTCTCTGTTAACAAACTAAACTCATGATTATAAAGTTCAGTTTGGCTCTCACATTATATGATGTAGCAGACAACTACCTGTCCAGTGCGGTTCTGTCATCCCGCATCCCATGTCATGTTGCGTTTGTCGAGAATGCGAGTCTTGAAAATGTGCGCTTGTGTAGGTGTTATTTCGGTTATAGAATTACGGTTGTCAAGCTCCAAAAAAAAACAAAAAAAAACACCAAAATGCGGTATGAACACAACTGTATTAAGCATACCATAAGCATCTGATCCAGTGAGGCTTGTTTTGTGTCAAACAGGATTAAGGATTAGTGTAAACATCGTGAAGTGTTGACACGTTAAAAGACACTAAATGACAAAAGCACATAAAATTACTCAGCAGACTTAAACTAAAAATAAAACAATCCGATTCAAAAATAGTAATAAACAAAATAATAGCATATAAATAATAATAAAATAACACTTTATAATTGCACTGGCATTGCTAGCACCAAGCTCTATTGTTTGACTTACAGGAATATTTAAGAAGTATTGAACAAAACGCATATCTGCATTTCTCTAGACTCTGCCATCTTGGCCATTTATTCCTCCAACTGATTTAATTGCAATGCATTCTGGAATTCAGAAATCTATGAAGGAAACATGCAATTCTGCCTTAGATTGTGGCCAAAATGAGGTCTTTTCTATCTGCCTACTGTCAGTAGTGATCCTAGGCAGCTCACTGGGTTTATGAACAGAGCTAATGTCTGTTGTAAAGCAGCAGTGTGTTGGGCAGGTTCCATTCCCAGCATTTGTGAGCTCCCTGCCTCCCCCCATTCAGCAATGGGGAAAAACTCCTGACATTTAACATTGCATCATGAAAATTCAGTGCTTCATGAGATTCAAATTACTTTACAGTCATCGAAGAGGCAAGAAACCGGGAAACATTTCAACACTTGGCTAAAGCTTGTCATTGACAAATGAACGGCTCTCTGATCAGTTATCACAAAAATCACAAAACTGTTTACTCAAAACCATTCATTCATATTTTGTTAACATTTTGTTCTTGGAATAGGTCAAGGCCATGAGAGGCTAATATTTGCTGTTTTGATATCATAATTGAAAATTCTACTTACAAATTAATCTGCATCACTTCATTTCCAGGCTAGTTGCCAGAGGAGATTTAAATTGTCCAGGCTTTGCAGTGGCAAAAGGAGAACAAATACATTTTTAAACCCACTATTCCAGACCCCCATAATGGAGCATCAGCTTCATGAAGATCTGGATGAAACGTGATCTCATTGACAGGCAGACAATCTGTCTGGTGTAAGACGCGGTGGCCTGCACTAATGTGAAAAAGATGGGGATTTGTTTACATGGCATTACATCAGAGGGCAAGGCCCTGCCTCTGCGGAGCATTACCTCAACAAATGTAACACGAGGACAGTCAGAGCATCTATTAAAATATCCAAAGGGATACACAGCAGTTTAAAACTAGGAATAATGTTTCTTCTCCATTTCTCACAGCTGTAAGGCAACATCTCAATGATACAAGGTTCATATCTTCGTATTTTCCGCCTCTGGCAATAGTATGCCTTATTTCTGAGACAAAATAACATAAAAATTTAAAAAACATCAAATACATGGGGAGATTGTGGGGATCTGATCATAAAACAACAGTCTGAGATGTAGCAAACAAATAAATCAATGATGCACACTACAAGGTGAACATCTGTGAAATCTGTGAACTGTTCAATAAATCACAGTAAAGCATAGAGTGAGGTCTGGGTACACAGCTAAAATTCTTTTACTTAATCAGTATTAAATTGTTTTCCACAAAAAGTAAATAAATACATAATCACATAAACAACCTTTTTTTTGTTGTCACTTCAGCATCTCTATATCTCAAGATATGAGCACTTGCTTTGATTTTTTATATAGACAAAGGAGACGCTGATGAGCAAACTTGTACTTAGCAAATAGGTAATTACCACAGGTTTTGTCGAAGAGAAGAGCAGCTAAGAGTAAACAGCATCTAGCAGGTGAGGAGTCCGTGAGAAACACTGCCAGAGCTCTGATGAAGCCCTGCCTCACTGAATTATATGCCAGGAACACTGCAGCTTTGAACGGATTTACACAGGATTTTCATAGTCAGATCTTACACCTGAGAATGAGACAATAAAAGAAAAAATAGATAAATAAAAACCCATATTATCTGGGCGTCTAAGTTATTTTGAGCATCCCTGTGGAAAATGACTGCGCTATAGGTCAGATGAGAGTACAATTAAGATGAATATCAGTTCAGACTTCCCATCTCTAACCACTGCACCATGACCACCCCTGAGAAAAACAACCACTCAGCCAACACCAAAAAGGCATATTTGCAAACCCAAAACTTGAGGAAATGTGAACAATTCATCATGTGGCAGATACAGAATGATGCGTTTTGGAAATAGTGCTATAATATCATTTTCCGTGAGGGGTGACTCAGCATGTCCTTCCCCTTTCATTTGGAGTTCGGGGAACTTCTAAAAGCCCTCCCAGATTCAATACAGCAACCTGCCAAACTGCCTTCACAAAGAGGAAACATGTGCGGTCACCCGAGTAAAAAAGTGAGAGTTAGGTAAACGGCATCATCAAGGTAAGACCTGTCAGCGTGTCATGATCTACAAGGGTATTTATCATGCTACTGTTGCTTTAGCCTGGAAATGTTAGACCTAATACCTGTGTGAGAATAATTAGCATGCTTTGAAGCGCTTTCCTGCCCGTCCCGTGAAAATTGCTATTAGATGGCTCCTCATGCTTAATTAGACTGAGAAAACAAAGGAACAGTTTGTACTGTTAACCAACTTGAACTTACTATATTTGGAAATTATCCCTCCCCTCACCCCTTAAACAAAGCAACACAAGTCCAAATGACTAATGAAAAATTCTGGCTCTCATGCACGTTCTTCTTTAAAGGGGTCATATGATGCTATTTCAAGTTTTCCTTTTTCTTTGGAGTGTTACAAGCTGTTTGTGAATAGATAAGATCCCTAAAGTTGCAAAGACTAAAGTCTCAAACCCAAAGAGATAGTCTTTATAAAAGTTAAGACTCGTCCACGCCCTCCTAAAACACCTCATTTAAACATGCCCCCACATGTCTATGTCACTGTGTGGGAAGATTTGCATAACACTGCCCAAATGTATATGCAAAGAAAGAAGGCGTAACTTATTCTCGCTGTAGTATTGTTGCCGCCGCTGCCGCCACCGCCATGTCGTGAAGACGCTGTGTGTTTCGTTGTGAAAGCGAAGCTACTTTGTTTGGTCTTCCAAAAGAGGACACAACTAGAAATTAGGGGTGGGTGCTATACCGGTATGAAAGTGACTAAAAGTATTATGTTGTTCCATGATATGGATTTTGCTATACCGTGGATAC